TATTTTAATCGATTATCTTCAAAAAGGAAAAACCATTACAGGAGCATACTACGCATCATTACTTGACAAGCTGAAGGCAGAACTTGCGGGAAAACGGCCACATTTGCAGAAAAAGAAAATCCTGTTTCACCAAGACAACGCACCGTCTCACACCTCAGCGGTTGCCATGGCGAAAATCCACGAATTACGGTTTGAACTGCTTGACCATCCACCTTACTCACCAGATCTAGCCCCAAGCGACTTCTTTTTGTTCCCTCATCTAAAAATTGCGCTCGGAGGACAGAGATTTTCGTCAAATGAAGAGGCAATCACCTTCGTGAACAATTATTTTGCAGAGAAAAACGAATTTTGCAGAGAAAAACGAATAAAAATTTGCTCTAAGTTTCAGTGAAATATTTACTCTGGCGATTTCGAGTGGCGATATTGTCACTATTGCTTCGAATGAAAATGCTGCCACTTTTCATTCGTTTTGAATGAGATTATATACTCCCACAAGTTTAAAAAGTATGAACCACATTTTTTTGTTAAATAATATGTATTTCCTAATGATCATAGGACTATTTCACGTTTATATTTTAATACTAGAACTACTGAAAAAGAGATTTTACTTCTATCAAAGCGGTCAAAATGACAGGTTTTTGAAAAAATACATAATGCAAGGGAAAAACATTTATTTATTCTTCTTCATTGTATTTAATATCAATTAAAAATATAAAATAAATTATTGTAAATTTGTGATAATATTAATAATATATAATAATTTGTAATAAGATATTACAAACCCCCATCATTTTGACTGGTTTGGTGGTTACAACGATAAAGATAAATTAAATGACTTGAGTGGAAAATTCAGCGTGAACCATCAGTGACCAACGTGGCATGTTAAATCGAATACTCAAATCTAAATCCATCCTCCCATTATCTGACCGGTCGCCTTTGACTTTCCGCGCAGTTTTGTAGTCGATGCAGCCACTGGTTCGCTTTCTTTCGTGTCGGACTCGGCGCGTTTTCCTGCTTCGTTTTCCTCCTTCGTTCCCGAGATCTCACCTTCATCGCCGTTGTCGTCGTTATTTCCCTTCTTATCTGATTGCTCACTTTTATCTTCCTCTTTCAGTTTTACTTCTTTCTTCTCTTTCTCTTTTATTTTCTCCACTTCACTCGTTCCGCCACTTTCCTTGGGCTGCTCCTGCGCGCTTTCCCTCTTGCTCGCTTCTGTCTCGTCGACTTTCTTTTCTTGATCGGTCGTTCCGGCTGACGTTGATTCAGGCTGCTTGCTGACTTCTTCTTCTACAGGATCCTCAGGTATAGGTGAAGGAGATCTGATATCGGTAGTTCGAATGTCGAGTGTCTTGTCCGTCGGCTTGTCCACGCTACCGCTGCTCATGGACTTCAATAAGCTCTTCTTGAATGTATCGATCATGGGACGTGGCATCTCGTCCGTCGCAGTCTCCGAGATCATAACTTTGCTACTTCGTCGGGGAGCCTCGGTTTTCTGCTCGGTTGTCTCCGAAGGTTCTGCGAGGATTTACATATCGATAAAAATTGGTAAAAAACAAGTAACATTTCAATAACTACAAGTAAAATAAAAACGGAAAATAAAATTAAAAAAAAAACGGAAATTCAAGTAAAATTAAAGTTATATGTGAAAAAATATAAAATTTTTTTTCCTGTTTTCTCGCCACTGCCACCTTGATTTATAACGTCAGAAGCGAGAAAATAAACACTAAAAATCCTTGCAAAATACGTCGAAATAAAATTACATGTCCATAAAATGACACTCAAAATTGATCTAGCAGATCTGGAAAATAGTCCGAACGCTTCACTTTTCTTCTAACAATCAATAAATAACCGCAAAATTCATGATCATGAGAAATTTCTAATCCTCAAATTGAAACAACGTTATACACCTAATAAAAAATTTGTCATACATAATTAAATAAAATTATATAAAATCATATAAAATTTTACATTATTATATATAATTATATATGAAATTTGTCCATCTACATGTTAATACATGTTATATATAATCATTGTATAATTATATATATAATTTTATATATAATTATATATATATATATATATATATATATATATATATTTCATATATAATTAAAAATTTTTTATCGGGCAGGACGTTTATATAAGAAAAACGAAACTTATAAAGGCGGAATTAAAGCACGAAATTAAAAAAGCATAATTAACATTCCAAAATAAGATCCTTGGGATCTTAAATAGTGAAATTTTTTATATACGCTTGACGTATATAAACCACTCTCATATAAGCCTATAACGCTAATGGTCTTTATTTTAATATGGGGTCTGTTTTCTATTGCTGAAGTCTCTCTCGAAACTTAAAAAGATATACGGATAAAATTTGATGGAAGAAAGATAACAGAGAACTAATACAGCTAGTTAAGCAATGGAAAACAGACTCCTAGTCAATGATTCGAGATGCGAACTCACCATTCTCCTGTTCGTCCAACTTGTTCTTGCTCATCATGAACTTGGCGTAAGCGATCCTAGTGGCTGGCGTGAAATCCGAAAGATTCGGATTGTAATCCACCAGCCGATTCGGGTCCATGGACGCCAGGTCGGAGTCCGGCTGGTGTCGTAGTTGACGTCGCAAACTGCGCCGGGACTGACGTTGCACCGCCTCGTTCGTGCTACCGATCGGATCCATCGTGACAGTGCTCTGCCTCACCACAGCGTTCCAGTCCTTCCTGCCTGTGCCACTTCCTTTACGTCCGATGGCACGTGCAATCTGACTGAAGACATCCTTCGGCTCCTTCTCGCTCTGGATGACCGCGTGTACGATACCTTCCACTATGCCGATCTGGAAGTCCTTTTGCAGACGACGCTCCATCACTCTGCCCTTCTTGCCCGGTACTGGTGGAAGGACACGAATAATTATAACCGTGCTTTCGTTTTTGAAATAATAACAGCTAAAATTAAATCAGAAAGACTAGTATAAAAGTCTTTTATAAAATTCACTTTAATGAAGACTTGATATGATAAAAATCAACAATATGACCAAGTAATCTAAGAAAATATTAAATGTAATTTGTATCTATGATTGTGAACCATTGACACTTTGTCTGAACCACTCTATCATCTTCATTGAACTACGGGCTCACTTAATGGCTCACTTAAGAAGAACCAGTTATGATTAATAGAAAATTAAGTTAAACAACATTTTATGAATTAAATTCGACTGATTGCATACTGACTGTTCGTGTCCTCTTTGTCGAGCGCCGGTGTGTGCATTCCGTTCTTCTTGAGAATGTCGATGAGATCGTACCGGAAGGTTGAAATATCCTGACGGATTTCTCGGACATCGTCCTCGGTGATGGCGTAGTCGTCCCGCTTTTGTTGCTCAGCTGTCACGTAGCGACGTATAAGTAGACGCACAACAGTGTCGTGTCTGGCCATTGCCTTCTCTCGAGACTTTTTCTGAAAGAAGATCGTTAAGTGACGATATGATCGACGTATACAGTTGCAAAATTATTGGCCATTTTTAACACGTTCGCTGGGTTAATTTAGAAAACTCTCCCTATTATCTTGCATTGTTATGTAATTATTTTATTAATTACACAATAATTTTATTTTATTAATAAATTTGCATAATAACGTGATAAATGCACATATTTATATAATAATATAATAAAATTAAGTCTGTTTTACAAAATTAATAAAAAATAATATAAAATATGGTTTTATTTTTCTTTAAGTTTTTTAAGTTTTAATACACTTAGTTATTGCTTAGTTATTGTTAGTTATATAGTGAAAAAAAAAATATATATAAAGTAAAATTAATAAAATTATTTTACATAATTAATAAAATAATTACATAAAAAGTACAGACTGAACTGTGGGGGAAGGCATACAATAATAAAATTACTATAAGTCTACAGACTTATGCTGCAATTCTAAGCAGAATCATAAGTTTCGTAACTTGTTCTCGTAAAATTCGTCAGAACTTATGAGTAGATTTACAAGTCTATGCAATATCATATATCGTAATTACTCGTAAATATCTACGATTTCATGTAATTTACGATATTTACAAATGATTGTACGACATATGATATTGCATAGACTTGCAAATCTACTCATAAGTTCTGACGAATTTTACGAGAACAAGTTACGAGACTTACAGTTCTACTTAGAATTGCAGCATTAATTTGTTTATGTAGACATAAAAAATTTATCACTCTCCTAACCCTACACATAAAAATTATTATTTACCCAACCCTACATATTTGTGACGCTAATAGCAAACATGTTAAATTGCTCTATGTCTTAATTGTTGAATTTGTAACTGAGGAAACCACATTAAGTGATTGTAGGTACTTTATAAATTTATAAAAATGACTTACAATGAAAGATGTTGTGGAGCGACCGGCGCTTCCACATTTTAACAGTTTTTGGAAAGTTTTGCTGGTTGGTATCATGTTGAACGGCGGCGGTACGGTGTCGCCGTCTTCAAAGTAGCTCATCCACAAATGGCTCCTGGCGAATTTCCATTCTGTGTCAGATCGTTCCTAGAAATATAAATAATATGTTAGCGCATTGATTTTAATATAATGTATATATTTAAAATTCAAGATTGCTCTGTGTAATGGACCACGAAGATCATATGAAAAATCAAATTAATAACATACTTGGTTTGTCCAGATTGATGTTGCGTTCTTTCTGGATTTGTGTCCACGTTTCGTGAACATTTCAGTTCAAATCATAAAACGCGACCATCAGATCAATTAAATTCAAACGCAAGATATTTGTGCCAAATTTTAAGTGATAAATTTTGAATTCTGTTATTGTTAACTACGAATTATTAATTCGTGCTTAGTTTTAATTTTCTATAAGAAGATTATAATGATTCACTGCGCCCGTTATTTTATAATTTGATACTTAAGAGCTATTAGATAAATTATTTTGGTTTACTTCATTAAGAAGAGGAGTAACTAGAAGTTTAAGTATCAAAGCGTCACGCTGTTCTTCTCCTTGAAGAAGAAAAATGGAATATTCACGAAATATCAAAATTAAATCCACGAAAGACGTGCCACCAACTTGAGTATATCTACATACCGCAAAATCTTAGATATCAAGTAATAACATCTTCATACAAGACATTTTTGAATATCGGTGACTACTTACCGAAATAATTTGATAAGAATTAGACATCATAGCAATCAGCATGTTGAGCAGCACAATGACATTTATCACAGAGTAGGAACCGAACATGAGTAGTGCCCAGAATCGCGTGAAGCTCTTGATACCCGTCAGATCGAAGGACATTAGATCGATCATTCCGAAACTAGCCCAGAAGAGAGACTGCGACGTCTCGAACAAACTGACACATTAACGAAATTTTAGTCTTTTACGCGAAGATTGAGCCGAGAAAGACCCAACTCAGTAAACACCAACTAATGCACTAATATATTATTATCTAGGCACACAGAGAGAACGATTTGGTTGAATCAAATAAACGTTTCTTTGGAATAGTCCAAACGAATTTTTCGATTGATCGAACAAAATTTTGTTTAAAGCAACAAAAATATTTATTTGCGGCTTAGTTCTAAAGAAATATTTTTGTTATGTCAATCAAATAATTTGTTTCAAGAAAAGAATGTTAAGTTCTCTAAACGACAAACTCGACAATTTTTGCAGATATGAGGTATCACTTTTTAGCTTTATATAAGAAAAAGGTTAAAAGAGAATATCTGGCAGCATAAATCATAATCATAAATGTTATAGAAGTGTAAAAAAAATGTTCCTTTGGACTATTCCAAAGGAACATTTTTTTTACACTTCTATAACATTTATGATTATGATTTATGCTGCCAGATATTCTCTTTTAACCTTTTTCTTATATAAAGCTAAAAAGTGATACCTCATATCTGCAAAAATTGTCGAGTTTGTCGTTTAGAGAACTTAACATTCTTTTCTTGATTTTATTAAAAACGTCTTACTGTAGTCTGAAATCTTAGAAAAGTAATGAATATGGAAAAAATTTTGATCATTCAGAGTATAGTGAATTTTCAAAACAATTTTTTTTTATTTTTAAAAAATTTTGATTCTTGCACATACGGGATTTCTTATTCATCGATATATTATTTGTTACTATAATTCTAAAGGAAAGTGGCTTGAAATTATTCCAAGTAATTCGTTGTGGAATATTTTGATCTTGCAAGTATTAATTGAAAGCGCTCAACCATCGTACTTGGCGAATCTCCTCCATATCGAGCAAGCTTTCTCCTGATTATCGAAGTCCGGCAGATCGTCGGACGTATGATAACACTTCATCTTCTCCAAATCCGCGTAATACCACATCAGTTGATTCATACCTAAAAACAGAGGGTGAATTTAAGAGGCAACATATCATCCTACATGTTATAAAAAAAAAGAGAGAAAAAGAAAGTTGCAAACCGTATCTTAAAATCGAAGCGGGATGCTAAATAAATAAGTGTGACGAATCTCACAGATGCAAATAATGGAGTTCCGGATGAATAAGTAAGCGGAGGCGGCGTTACTCACCGCAACCGAAAGCAAACAGCACGAGGGTATAGATGAAAAAGAACTTGATTATGTCTATTATCATCCTCCCAAGGGAAATCTGGAGTGGGCCGAGATGAGGATTCACGCTGAATATATGGACGAGTTTTAAAAAGCTGAAACACATTCCGTATATACATATAATACACGCCGAGTGTATTTGTCGGTGAGAAGGAAGTATCCTGTCGAAAAATAACGGTGTGAAGAAAAGAGCTAATTAGACGTGTAATCGAACGTCTAAATGTGTGAGTGCTTATACTTGCGTTTGAATGTACACTTTGTGCAAAACAGTTCTTTTCACGTTTGTTTTCATTAATAAATAATTTAATTGTGAGAATTACCTGAAGATCATCCCAGCTGCAAAAGCTCCTTCCGAAAGTAACATTGGATCAAACGCATGCCACTGATCCCGCGGATACCAAGGATCTAAGCCATCCCAGTATTCTCTCTGTTATACGTAAAATAATCGGATTAATTTTACACGCAAGAAACGTGCGAATCAAATCTGGAACGTTATTGAAGAGTATATCTAATAAATTGTAATACAATTGACAAACATGAAATTCTTCGCGTGAAAAGAAGATACAAGCCTTTATTTTTTATTGACGTAAATATCTTTAAATGTTACTTACAAACGCTCTGATTGACTTTCAGTCACATTTATAGAGACACTTTTATCGATAAAAGAGAGCGCAAAATAAGGATCAGTATAAATCATCCATAGAAGTTTTATTGGTTGTGTAGTTCGCGAGAAGAATTCTCAAATTTTAATATGTTTCAATTTAATTCAAATTCAAATTAAATTCAAGTTTTAATATTGTTCCAAGGTTTATATTAAAAAAAAATGGTTGTTATTTAAAATTTGTCTTACTTAAGATATTCAGATTTGAATTTAAAGTTAGATTCGAGTCTTTTATTTGAAGTATATAACATGTAACGTTATATGTAACGTTACACAACATTTATAAGTGTGATTCAATTAAAAGACTAAAACCTGAATTTCACATGACATAAGTTTGAAGTAAGGACTATTAATATGGATCTAAATTAGTTTGTAACAAATCTTTAGTTTTTCATCTATAATAATCATTTAGCTTGAGTTAATTTTACGAGATTGCATTTATATGGGTTTTTTGTGTACCTTTCATAAAAGCAGAATGAAACATACCTGCACTATCCACCAGGCCGTGATTCTCATACTTATCCAGATTACGTAAAAAGTATTTTGAATGAAGTCTACGATATTCCACAGATCCGATATATATTCAATTAATCCGTCTGCCCATAAAGATTTAATCTCGCCGATGATTAAACCTACGAGATGTGACTGCGTGAAATATATGTATGTATACATGTGTATATATGTATATATATATAAACGTATATAATTAATAATTTTAATAGGATACACACACATATATATATTCTATTTAAATTAGTAATAATAATTTTTTATATAAGACAGTGGATTTTATGCTCGCTAAAATGATTTTCATCTAACTAATTAAGAATGCGTCACTGTGTGACTAAATCTATCACAGATTTTCATGCGATCACTCACTCTGAACACGCTTGGCAAACTTACTAATAATAATATATATATATATATATATATATATATATATATATATATATATATATATCATATATATCATATATATCAATATATCATATATATCAATATATCATATATATATATCAATATAAGTTTGCTCTTACTGCGTCTATTCACGCTAATTGTTTCTAATTCTACAGTTTACATGGTTGCATTACTTATCACATAGATGACCACGCCGGTCTCGACGAAGCCTGGCACGCCACCACGTTCTCGTTTCTTCCAACCGGCGAGAATCTCCCGCATCCACTCGTTGCCGAATAATTCAATCAACAGGTATTCGACTCTTTGCGACGCCATGCCAAGAAGCACTACGAATAAAATACTTGGTCAAGCTTTGCTTTATTACACTTGCATGTAACTCGTAATTGAAGTGCACTGGGAGACTTCGCAATAATATAGAACATTAATGTAGAAATGGCAGCACAAAGGATTACATCGCGATCGAACTTACTTAGGAAGAAGGCGTATGACGCGGAGTGACATATGAATTTCACGAACGGCTTCTTCATGAACAGCCCCATCTGCGAAGTGGGTGCCATCATGTACATCGTGCTGTAGACCGGGAACATCGCCCCGAGCTTGCCGACTTCCAGCAGTTGCGCCATCATGCTTTTCCTTCGGAATCCCGGAAGACCGTCGTACCAAATAGCGGCTAATAATTGCTGCACGTTCGGATGAGAGACGAACTACCACAAAATATATGAACAGATATAAGTTTATTAGTTTATATAACATCTATAAAAAATATCATATATATATATATATATATATATATATATATATATATATATACATGAATATTGCATTGAAATTATATAAAAATATCAACAAACAGATGTTTTCGGTTAAAATACCGGTAAATTTTTATATCCTATCAGGAAATATTGGTTCATAATTTTTTAATCGGTTTATCTGATGAAATGCCATGATCGGAAGTATCCGATAAAATTTAATCGAATATTCTGATCAGATATAAAAAAAGTGATCGAAATTTGATCGGAAAAATTCGTTTGTTAATTTTTTATCGGATAATTTCTTTCAGTATGTCTCTATGTAGTCTTATATAATCATGCACAATCATGCATAATAAAAAATCCTCAAAATTTTTTAAATATATTGTCGGATTCTCTTTAATATATTCCTGTCGAATATTTTGGAAATGTTTCAGAGAATGAGAGAGAAAGAGATAGAAAGAGAGAGAAAGAGAAAGAGATAGAGAGAGATAGAGAGAGAGAGAGAAAGAGAGAGAGAGAGAAAGAGAGAGAGAGAGAAAGAGAGAGAGAGAGAGAGAGAGAGAAATAGAGAGAGATATTGAAGTATCGAAGCTATTCATAGTAATATTAATACAACGTTAAAAACTATATCTTAGAAAACGTGGTATGTTATTGAATATCATCACAAAAGAACGTTCTATGAATAATCTTTTGTTTATTAAATCAATATCAAGTTGTTCCTGCCTTCTTTCTCTTGACAAAGAGAACTGAAATGTTTACAAAATGTCGGAAACAAACACGGCTCCAATCCAAACGCTAAAACAAATATTATTTCATATTGCGAAAGTCTCAATGTCAATATGTTGTCAGTTCGATATAACTCGCGCGAGGCTTGTTGAAAATTAGGAGCACGTATAGAGAATGTACTCTCCGCTGTAAGGAGAGCGCCCGTCTACGTACTTGCTTCTGCTTATATTTAATAGCCAGTTTGAGTCGGTCCAAGGTCTGTCTCTCCCCAGGATCCCAATTCTCCCCGGTGGGATTGTAGTTTAACATTATTTCCAATTCGTAAGACGTGCGTGCGTGGTCCAGCAAAGAGGTCGAAAATTGCTGCGTCTGTTGCCGCATCTCCTGGCGATTGACAAAGAATCGTCTTTAGACGAGGACAAATACGCGAGAGTGCAGGTGAGAGTGGATACGTGCTATCGATCGCGTTTGTCGAATTTATCCTCAAATTTACGTTCGTGCATAAAAGAAAACAGCCATGGACAGAAAAATTGTCTATTATTTGTGAACTCTCTGTTTTGTTCAATGGGAGAATCCGTTTTTCAATGGAAGAATTCTTCCATCGGTCACAGACTCACCCCAAAAATTACGAACAACCTTTCTGTCTACGAATGTACGTCGAACGCGCAAAAGATCAAAAGATCTGGATGACTATAAATTTTAGTTACCAATCGTTTGAAGGGGCCCGAATGACTCGAGGTGGAGGAGGAGGAGGAAGAGGAGGATCATTGAGTTAAGTACGTTATATTGGGCGCGAAATTCTTGTTCCATCCTGCTGAGGCGACGCAGTTCCCACGAAAGCTCGAAGGCCGTCAGAAGTGGGTCTCTCGATGAAAGCGCGATTAGAGATGACGAGGTGAGTGCACGATACGCGTTTATTCGAGATTGCGAGTGCCGGAGGGAGTCCTGTTCGCTGGAAGTGACGCATTCGTCGCAGCCGCATCTGCAATAATATCACGAAGTTACTTCCTCTTCTCTTTACGTAGGCTCGTTTCACTAGCGAAAGTAAGACAACAAATGAAAACAATCCAAACTAAACATGTTTGGGGAAAAAAATTATTTTAACCTTATTTTGACGATTTCCCGAAAAATATTCCTTTTTGTCTGCTCTTCCCTCACAACATGTATTATATTATACTTATATCGTTAATTGAGAAATTATAATATTGTTATAATACTACTGTTACTTGCTATTTACTGGAAATAGGATACTTGAAAAATTACTATGTGTGTTATCTTTAGCAAGATCTACTGACAGTTTATTTTTGAATAAATAGAAAGATTGAATACTGATAAAACTGAAAAGAATTTATATGAAAAGATTCGATTTCCACGAATGTGCGTGAATATATGTGTGTGTGTTGATGAAATACTAAATTTACAAAACTAGATAATACAAGCGCGTACACTATTTGTCTTCTACTTTTTTTCTTAAGTACAATATTTTCTCAATGTTGGACTTTATTATTAAAATTGTATAGACTGTATTATATTATCATAAAATAATATCTCTCTCTTCTTTCGACGTACCTGGCATTGTGAGGCGTCGGTAAAGTCGCGCCGCGATCCAAAAGCAATTTCAGTATCTCGTAATTGTTTTTATGAGCCGCCAAGATCAATGGAGTTATGTCGGGTGTAAAATTGGACGATGAATCCACGGCTTCCCAGCTCTGAAGTAAAATATAAAAATGTCACTGAAATGACAGAAGTCCTCTTCGCCACTGATTAATTAGAGACTAATTATAATGATAAGAAGAAAAGGGAAATCATGTCCGGTCTCGTGCGTTTAAAGAGTGGATAATTTGTCTATCAAGTATACACAAAGAAATATTATTATCTACTACTAAGAAAAATGATTGTTTAACTAACAGAAATATTTAAATGGCTTATATTGTTCAACTAATTTTTGTTCTTTTAAGCATGACTATTTCCAATAAAGAATATTTTCTTGGTAATCCTCGAGTGTTATCTTAATGCAACATATTTATTGCAAATTTGGAGAAATTATTATTTACTCAAAAGAAGAGTTTATTTTCTTTACAAGAATATAGAAAAATTTTATGGAAGAAGTTGGTTTGACTTTATGTAGTTAGCAAGCCAAACTTTTGTTTAAATTTGATATTCTTGATCGAAATGCTAAACTTACTAGGATTCAAAATATATTTTGAATAAATTTGATGCTTATAATGAACTCTTATAATAATCATTTTGCTTATAATAATCATTTATAACAGATTTGTGAATATATGAGACTTGGGAGATACCTGAAACAAATAACATTTACTTGAATACACTTGTTCCATGTATTTTCCTATGTGAATGTGCGATCGCTCTGTTTCTACCGAAGCGGATACATATAGCGCGTGTTTTAAAATTGCCCGCAAAAGAGATGTATACACGCAAAAAAAATAGTTGGTGCAACCAAGTAGGAACCAATTGCAAATTAGGTGATTAGAAGCGATATCTCTGTTACGGAAACTAATATTTATGTTGTCGCAACCGAAAATATTTGTCTGAACATTCAACGATATTAGAACTCGGTTGAGGCAGCTGAGAACAATTGATTATATAGATGCCTCATAAAGGAATTTTTCTGTTCCTACAATCGAGTTTTCGTCTGATCCCTGAACAACCGAAAATTCGGTTATACCGAAAACCGTTCGGTTATACCGAACAGAATTGTTTTTTCCGTGTAGAATTGCATAAAATTCATTATTGAACTTACGTAGGGCTGGCCAGGCTTGTGTATCTTTTCCTCCCACTCCAGCAAGATCTCCACCGCCTCCACGTACTCCTCCTTAATGGCGTGCAGAAGTGCATCCTATAAGACGTGCGAATTATGGTTTCGGAGGGGCTTCAATGCTCTTACGCGTTAGCGACTTGCGGCTCAGATGCTGCGTAATGCAGGTAATTCATAACAATGTCGCGCTCGCAGAACGGCCGTTCTATACAGGGTGACCCAAAACGCCAGGCGTGCGTGTGTGCGTGCGCGCGCGCGGAACTCTCATTAGCGGTATCCCGGTAGACATCGATTACGTGATATCAAACGGTAACACACATTACACTCGTGCAATAATTAGGGGAACGAACGGCCGCCCGCGTGATCTTCATGAGAGACGCCACGCCGTCTCGATTCCACGATACTTACTTACCTTCACTTCGATTCCCAATTCCAGCAGCAGTCTGATCAGTTCGACGTTTTCGTTCTCGATCGCGGCGGTGAGCGCTGATCGGTTCAGCGGATCAACGCAGTTGATGTTCAGTATCTCCGCGTGCCCTTCGTTTTCCTCGATCAATCTGCGAAAATAGCAAGGAGACTTAATAAGTGTTGAGATCACATTTCCGTTGAAATAAGGAGAAGTTGGTTACAGCGAGCGTAAATTCAAAGGAGTAGTAATATTTGTCACTCGCTGTCTGTTATCATAGAAATGTGATTTCTCTTTAAACTCGTATGTTTAATGAGAAACTCGTATGTTAAATTCAGATTTTAAATAGAATGGTATTCGTACGTTATTAAAGCCTCGACTGCCAAGCTGATTTTTATATATTGTTTCAAAAATCAACTGCAGTTTTCACAATCGAAATTATTTACGATAAAATACACACACTTTCTCATGCATTATTTGTAAAGTTCCAGTATTAGTTTTCTATTGGTCGCGTATTTAATTCATTCAGTGCAATTAGTTACATCTTATATGCATAAATTAGTGAGATATAATCATAATCATGGAGAATATGGCAGTCAACATGTTGGCATGTTCGCTACTATCGTCTATTAAGGAAACTTTTCCAACATAATCCACTCTAAATTTTTTCATGTAATTGTGTAAAACACCTTTATTTATTTTTATTGTGAACTAAATCGTCATTCTAATTAATTTGCTCATTCATTTATCTATATTTTAATTTTATTTCTTGCTATTTATTTATTATAGTTATTTTTTATATACTATTATCCTAATTTATTTTTTATAACTAAATGATGATTTTTCTGCCCACCTCTTATAAATGAATATTATTATTAAAAACAGATTTATATGGATGAAAAAAGAAAATAATCGCCATCACATTTGTGATGTCAAGAAATTTTTTCTATATCCACAATATCAAACTAAGTCTGTTTTACACAATTACATAATGAAAACTTCCAAATAAGATTCCAAAAGAGATTATATATGGAAAAGTTATATGGAAAAGTTCAAATAAACCATGTCAACGAACGTATTAATTGTGAATATCCAGGTCATCACGATATTTCCAATTTCACCGGCTGGATTCTAATGATTAAAGCGCGATACGCCAAGGAAGAGAACGATCATGAATCTTTCGCTCTGTGAACTTGTGTCTGTGGACATTTCCAAATGGTTTCAAATTAGAGAATCTCCCTCCCGTCTTTCGAGGCGAAAAAGTTCACAAGAGAAGTTTTCACAGTTTAAAAAGTTACATATGCTCGCTAAAATTGTCGAATTTACATGAAACCTTTCACGTTTGTATTCTAGGAAGAAATTATGTGATCTCTGGCCAGAATGGCGTCAGTGCATCAGCATCTCACGCAATAGGAAGAAACACGCAGTTCGGTCGCAGACAGCCCGTCCAGAATTCATACTAAACCCAGTTTATTTTACGTCTCGTCCGGGACGTAAAATCTTTGCCGGTGGTATTAGCGCGCCGAGCGATGCTCAGGATTACCTTTTGACAGTCGCACAATCGCCTCGTTCCGCGCTGAGCAGGAAATGCTTCTCGACCGGGCCAAGAATATAGTCAATAGGCGCCTGTAACGATTGCACCGACGGCGCACTCGCCTCGTTCGCGAGTAGATCCTGTTGCGATTCCGACGGATTCATTTCACCCTCGGCGTATCGCCTCGCGTACGTATCCGCTGAACGGAATACTGCAAGTGCCTAAAATTGGAAAATGCCTCCTACGGCTTAAATACATTTCCAATCGCGAAGCTGGACTCACGCGTGTTCGAAAGTTGCCGGGCTCTAACGGATCTTATCGAATAGATTTCTTCCGCTGAGAAAAATATTCAATTATATTATCTAATCGGAGTCCAATGTAAAAGAAACAAACGGATATATCCAAATTATATATCCAATATAAAAAGTAATCGGACATATCCAAACGGATATCCGACTCATAAATATCCTTATAACTACGACTTGTCTTGACTGATAAGAATATGATTCTGTATTCTTCACGATTTTACAACTTCTAGCATAGACGAGCTTTATAATATTAAATTCAGCTTTAAGAATTAAGTACTCTTGCTTATTAATAGTTTAATGACCTCCTCTTCAATATTTATTTCTTGTAACACATTACGTATCTCATAGTAAGTCGATATGTTACACAAATTATATAAATTTCAATGAAGATCGATCATGTAGAGAGATAAAAGACGTCTTTGAGTATAGAGTTCAATGAAAATAGGTCACGCATTCTAGGTTGAGAGCTAGTTATCCTCCAACACCGATTCTTCGGAAAACAGAAGAGATCCGTTCTGCGTGTAATCTTTAGTTCATCCAAAATGTAAGAACAGAAGCAGATAAAGCATGATGATAACGTGAGTAAGGCTTCTTATATTTAGCATTTGCGGCATAAAGTATTGAGATCAACCAGGACAGTGTTTCTCACGTTTCGCAGTTAAGTAAGTTGTAAGCAGAATGCAAAATATTAAAAATGGTATGAAATTTTATTTCATAATTTTATTTATAAATAATACCTGTATATGGATATTTTTTAGATTTTTTCACTAACCCATTTTTGTGTAAATTAATAACAATATTCTGTAAATTTTGTAATAGACTTATAGGAATCTTATAGGAAATGATTCTGCGTATTTTAAAATTAAAAAATCAATATTTAAAGTATTAAGAAGCAAATAAATTTATACGTAATATATGAAGTATATAATATTAAATGTTTATATTTTTATGTATTTGAAGCTTCAAGCAATTTACGTAGTTTATTTGCAATAGTAAAGAATATAAGTGAAGATATAATACTTTTATCATCTAAACTTTCTAATGGGAAAAAATTTGAAAGAAGCCTTATACTTCTTTCCATTATCTATCTGCATCTCTGTTAGTCCAACTAATGCATAGAGGAAGCATTAATAGAAACGATAAAAATCGTATTTTTTGTATTTAATATTAATATTATTTCAATTTTATCTTAAATTAATATGTATCATCTAGACAGTGAAATAAATGTATAGAAACGTAATTTTTGTTTGGCAAATAATAAATTTATGAGTGGCGCTTTACGTTACTGAAAACACTTAGCTATATGACCTTAACAAGCTATAGTTTTACCTGAAGAAGCAATCCGATTATTTATTTTTTTACGGTTGCCCAATAAAATCATAAATCTATAACGCAGTGTGGTTCATTTTGTTAGCGTAAAGTAATACTTAAATTTTCTACATTGAAAAATAATATTTAAGTTGAATCTTTATCCATTTTTGCTTTAAAAAATAGTAAAATGTTTATTTAAACCTCAACGAATTCACCTTGATTCAGTTTCAATGAATCGATATGCGGCTACCTCTCGTCCAATTAGATTAAGTCTTAATTACGTAAGTTGCTTTCGTGTTGCACAACCATAGATCGAAGTGTACAGTAAACAGCTTATACAATGTAAGTCAACTTTATTTTAAACTAGAATAATCCCAAATGTGATAGAGAATAAGAGTTGAATACCGTTTCATTATGTTATCTAGATATCTCGTTGATGCGCGACATATTATCGAGGGACTTTGCAGAATTTATGTATATCGATAAAAAGGATATTAAAAAAATAAAAAAATATTTTTATTCAGTGAATATCAATAACATATTTACACGTGTATATTAATGTGCATATTTTTATATTGAGGAACATTTTTTTGTATATAAGAAAATATAAATTTTTTTGAAACAACGTGCACGTAGCTTCCTTATGAGAAGGCAATTGTTTATTCCTTACTTAAATAAAATAATTTATATCTTCTTTGTTTAAAAGATTTTCTATTTATATAAGTTATATAAATATATTATTAATACCCTTCGCGAATAGATACATTTTGTTTCTTACATATTTTTTCTCCCTAAGTGTATTTATGTTGTATCCATATGCGAATAAATATGTGCAGAATATCTGAAAGAGCGGGTAACAATAACTAAAAACACTTTGCGAAACAAACTCGAGAGATGTTAAAATGTTTATACGACTATATACAGATAATTTTAAAAATGCACTGAGGAAATATTTCGAAATTCATTTCACATAAAGTTTATCTCTCTCTCTCTTTTTCTCTCTGTGAAATAAAGTTTATTTCTGTGATATAAAGTTTATTTCTGTGATAAAAAGTTTATCTTTAAATGTGAACTTTACGTCTCACAAATAAATTTTCAAGTACATTTTTCTCAGAAGTGCAAGATGCTTATTGCGATCTTCCGCTGCATTAATTTATTCGTGTGTATAATGGCGACATTAAATACGCTAATTTAGGTCGCACCGAATAAATGAATCCTGAAGATAATTGGAGCGCCATCGTCCAAGAAACAGGTTGTCTCATTAAGAAAAGTTTTTTCCGCGAGGAAGAAAACAATTTCATCAATATATGAGATTTCTCTTTGATTAGTTTTAGTAATAAGTTTAATGAAATATCGTTCCTCAGTTTCCAGTCCCATCGTGCGGATTCGTTAATTAGATGCTTGAATTTAAGGGTCCGCGTTTCTCGAGACAGACAAACAGATGCATTTATTGTACGCGCTCTGGGACATCTCTCCTCACAAACGCAATATAAGATATAAAATAAAAATAAAAGAGTTAAAATTAAAAAGTCTCTACGAAAGAGAAAATCACATCCATATTATACAGGATGTCCCAGATCACCTTCACAATCTCTCGTAAGGATGGAAAGCGGATTGAGATGAACACAAAAGTCCTATACCATTTTGCGATATTCGCAATAATAGTCGAGATATTAATTAAAAAAGATTGGTGAATGATAATGAGCGATATGGTAGATGAGCTGCAATTGCGCTGTCTACCGTTGTATATTTGTACATTATGTCAAACTGAACAAAAAAGTCCTCTACCATTTTGACAACATAGATTTTTAGATATTAATCAAAGAAAATTGTTACATGATTATGTACCATAATGAACAAATTTTCTTTAATTAATATCTAAAAATCTATGTTGTTATTTGCAAAATGGTAGAGGACTTTTTTGTTCAGTTTGACTTAATGTACAAGTATACAACGGCAGACGCCGCAATTGCAGCTCATCTACCATATCGCGCATTATTATTCACTAATCTTTTTTTAATTAATTATCTTGAGATTTATTGCAAATATCGCAAAACGGTATTGGACTTTTGTGTTCATTTCAATCCGCTTTACGTCCTCACAAGAGATTGTGAAGGTGATCTGGGACACCCTGTATAATCATGTAATGAGTACAAGAAAGAGAGACAAAGGGGTGACGCGACGCGGATGTCAAATACTTTTTCCGTCGCGGTCGGAAGAAGGACGAGGGACGAGCGTCGTGCAGCCCACTTCCCCGGCGGGGGCTAATCTCGTGTGCGGGAAATGTACTTACTTTGTAAGGGAACGTAAAGTACACGCTCTCCTACGTCTCGACGCCGGTGTGCTCGCGCGAGCAATGCCGGCCACGGACTGTATCGCGGCCATGGCTACGCGCGCCGCACGGCGAAACCTTACGACGCCGTCAAGCAGGTTGATCTTCAGGCGGCGGATTAAGTACGGACGAGGTGCGCGTACCGAAAAGAAAAGAACAGCCTCGCCTACATGGCGTGGGTCGCGCTACATTGTGCCCGGCATCGCACATTGTGCGGAATCGGCATTACCGCCGGCATGTGGACACCTTTGACCACGAACGGAGCGGGGCGGGAAGAGGACGGTGGAGGGTGAGAATCCCTCTCCTTCTTTCTCTTTCTTCTAACCCCCGGATTAATGGTTCGCGAGTCTCGTGACGGCGTATCCGTAGTAGCCAAATCCGGAGCTCGTATGCCGGCGACGCGCTCCGGCACATTCTTCTTCATTTCCCGCACCGTCGCGAATTCATGCTCCTCCAAGCCGAGTCGAGCCGCGCAGCGCCGCGATTATTTATCATCTCGGCGATGTGCGTCATTTCCGTTTTTAGTGTGACACGACATCCGTAACAATTCGGGAAACATCAGGCGGCAAAGACTCGGAGGCCGCTGATGTATGGCGCCGCGCGCGCGCGGATTCGCACGGTACGGAGGGCTGATGGTGATACACGCGAGAAAATGTTGGTAGGCGCGCGTCGCAATGTATCAAAAAATATATCTCAGTCTATATAAAAATATAGACTGAGGGGGAGGTGCCGCGCGTACCTAAATAATTGTCGCCGGGCTGACAGGTGAACGGTCAGATGAATAAGTTCACTTGTCGCTTATATACGATATACTTCGCTTCTCAGTTGTATCCAAAAGATGTTAATTAAATCTCGACAGAGTAACAATGGGAGAAAGCGAGAATATACCCAAAGAAAGAGAGAGAGAGTGACAACGCTCTGTCTTCGTTCTGCCATTTTTGCTCGGCGAGATAATCAAAATAATTGCGTAAATAATCGGCGAGCTGATTATAAATAATTCCCCCCGGCGCGAATTGGACAGGTGGAAAGCGCGGTGAGGGATGAGTCGAAAATAGACGGGGGTGTATAATCGAGTCAGCCATGCCTTTGATAAAATGAACGGTGGGACAACGACGAATGGGGGATGGATATCGGTGGGATGCGGTTACGGCAGCATATAGAAACGAGCGTACTGCATCCGGCCACTTTGTTTTTCTTTAATTATTATAGTTACGTATTAAATTGACATATACATCTCAAGAACGGCGTTCGGGAGATCACGCATGTCGGGGATACGATACGTACGTGTCTCGTGTCGCCGCGACGTGTATAATACATGTCTCAAGCTCGGGCTGGGTCGAGGTAATAATCGGTCCCGCCGTTTTTACGTAACGCGTGAGACTTACAGGGAATTCAGTCGGATGCGGATCCGATAATGAATCACTCGCTCGCTGTCGCAAACGCAAGCGAAAGCGCACGCATACACTGCAAATCCAAGAGTGCGTTTTCAGACGCGTAAGCACGTAATTTCGCTCTTTTCACACATTTCTTGCGGTTTGAAATCACATCATTTGACACGTTTAGGACGTGTTGGTGAATTACGGTGTAATTACGTTTTCAAACGTGTTAAGTGATTTAAAACAATGAGAAACATGTAAAAAGAGATTCAGCCAGGATAACACACTTTGTATGCAGTGTAACGTTATACATCAGCAACACGAGATCCTTCGCCGAAGGATAACGCATTAGCAACCGTCGTGTTGTTTGGCGGAACATATATCTGTATGTATACTTGTCGAGTTCGGTGATCGAGTGACTTTCACACTGTGTTCGTATGAATACTATTGTACACTTTGGTATATTCACATAATTAGATAGATTAAATTGTTATTATTGTTTTGTCTTGTTATTATTATCAGGGATGGATTTGATGTTGAAATTAGTAATGCTGAAGCACCGAGTTCCTACAAAAAGGTGACCTTGTTTTAGAATATTGTATAGAAACAATTTCTTATAAAATACTTTACAAATAAAATAAATTTAATAAATAAGTAAAACTATTATAAGATTAAATATAATAGTATGTACAATAAGATTAAATATAATAGTATGTACAATAAATACATATACAAGATAACTAAAACTAAAATAAAAGAAAAATATATACAAAAAGTAAAGTAAAAAAACTATTTTAAATTTTTATAAACTACCACAAAAATAAAATTTACATAAAGTGTATTTTATAGAAATTTTATTATTTTTATAAATATTATTGATAACATATACATTTTGCTCAAGTTATATATATATATATATATATATATATATATATATATATTCACATATACGTTCAAATTTTATTATAAGTACAGTTAAAATGTCACTGAAATAGTATTAGTATCAAACTCACCTCGAAAAGTTCCATCCATCCCTGATTCTTGTTGTTTTATTGTTTAGGTAATCTGTGTGATAGATCGGATAAGAAATAAAAAACAGCTGTTTTCGCAAGGTAGGTTTGATGGATTTAACGCGCGTCGATACGTATCAGTGCATCCAACCGAATTCGCTAGTAGACATGAGAGAATTGAAGAGTTGAGACACGGAAAGTGATAGGAAGTAGAGAGAGAGGGCGAGTCAGAGAGAGAGAGAGAGAGAGAGAGAGAGAGAGAGAGAGAGAGAGAGAGA